AATCATAAACCTTTCTCCTTGCAGTCGTTCGTTGTTCCTTAGCCCGATCCGTAACAAGCACCTCTTTCCACTCTTTTCCTCCAAAACGCATTCACCTTACCGGCTTCCGCGCTGTTCACTGCCTCCGGGCCACTTATATCCCGGTTCCTGATGCGTCTCAGCTGTGTCTCATTGTTTCTTAAGGTAGACCCTTTCCATCTACTGGTCAGCTGATTCTTTTTGTCTGCCATCTCGCTAAGGTCCATCTCTAGCATTTTCAGCGTTTCGTTTCGGAAGTACCTGTTAGAGATGACCCTTCCCCGTGTCCTCTTACAACAGGTATTTATGCAAAATACCTGCATATCACCAAACAAAGCAGAATTCCACAAACTCAAAATAGATCACATGCATCTTGTGTGAGTATTGGATTCAATTCAATATTTATTTGATTAAAGAAAAAACATTTATTTTCTGTTTTCAACTTCATGTCAACTACATGTGCTGTGGTGAAAAATCTATTGACTACAATAGCAACAAGCCTCGAGAGTGGCTCATTCTGCCGGACTCTGCCCCAGGAGTGATATTCAGCACCCCATCATGTATAAAGACCTATTACCTATCTGGTATAAAATAGCAAACTTTAATATATATATATATTATTACATAAACACACATTTTTAAATATGTAGATGTTTTTATTTCTTGTATTTATATCATTGTGTGTTGGATCAAGTATGTATGTGTAGGCTGGTTATTTTTATTGTCACTCTGGGTGCTGGTGGTAACTATATTTGTTGAAGTGTTTTTGGACGGCTGAAGCAATTTGATTAGATAACCAGCCCACAAACACAGCAACATCTAGCTAGATAACAGCTCCAGAGGAGAGGGGACTTGATTTTCTCTGGAAACTTTACATTTCAGTTCAGACAGTCTGAGTCCATTAAGCTGTTTCTTTTTTGCTCAATCCTTCTTTGGAGATTCTACCTCTGCCTCTTTGCATTGTAGCAGCAAGACATATTATTAAACTAAGAACAAAGTATTATTGAAGATTTGCAATAATTATTATCATTTAACAATCAACACCTTAACAGCTTAGGTCTCTTCATAAAGCATTAGAAATACAGCAGAAAGGGCCTCTCTGAAAAGCAGGTTATCCTGCATTTGTGACACAAGCCAGGACATCAATACATTGATACTTTCATTAATAGATCTCTTATTTCAGCATCTCTTAGTCTCCCAGTCTAAATAAGAGAGGCAATGTGGGTTGCAGTCTTGGGTCAGAGGTAAATCACCCAACATGCTGTTGGTGGGTGGGGAAAGACACTACACTTGATGACATCACAATCAATAACCAGCCATGATTACTGGGCTTTTCAATGTATTGTAAAGCTATAAGCTATAACTTTCACTTTCTCTGGTCTGGTCTCTCAATCTAAACCTGGATGAAGAATTAACAATATGACTGCAATCACCATTGTCTAATGTAGTTCAAGATCCCCGGCTGAAAAAAGCTAGTTTGTACAGGTATGTAAACAGAATTCTTCCCAAGATTCTATGTACAGTTTGAGAAATCTTGTATCTAGATAGCCAACTGTTATTTTTCTTGATTACCAGAATTAATATTGATTGCATTTTCAATAATACAGCTGAGTATACTGTACATTGCCAGAGGAACAGAACATATCTGTATTTTTGTACAGGTGGGTCTTAGGAAAATGGAGGCACTAACACAGTCATATAATACCCCATTATGTGGGCCAGTTTTGTGAGGAAAGAGCAAGCTATCCAGGGTTCAATTAGTATATGGCTGTACATGTAGTTCCCCTGAAAAGGGAAATTATTAAATAATCAGTCACTCAACTCGTTGTTTCCTCATCAGTGGCTCCTAATGCGAATGAGGAAAGGGAACAAGATCTCCCTCTCACTGTGTTTCACAGACATTTCTTACCCTTGTCCAACCTATATTCAACCATTAGAAATAAGGTGTAATTAACAGTAAGAACAGTCAAAAAGCACCAATACAAACTCCTCAGTGACGATCTCTTTTGACAAGAGTTCATAACAACCAGGGCTGTGCTGCTTCGAACAGTCCATCTTTCCCTGCCATAGTTTCCTGCGAGTGCTGTGCTGTAACAGTCAAAGAGCACTTGAGTGGACTCGACTGTAGCAACAGTTCATCCACTATACAGTCCATGATTCAAACAATCCATTCTGTTTAAGAGACATAAGAAGACTGGTGTAAATAGTGAGGCACAGGTATCCAAGGGTTAACAGGCAGTGTACAACTGTAGACCAAAGACTGGTACTAGGGCACAAGACTACGCCCTATGCTATCATT